CGTAATGTGCCCTACACTTGTCTCCACCTTTAGTCACATGATCAAGGCGTACTATGCCCTACACTTGTCTCCATCTTTAGTCACATAATCAAGGCATAATGTCCTACACTTGTCGCCACCTTTAGTCACATGATCAAGGCGTAATATGCCCTACACTTGTCACCATCTTTAGTCACATAATCAAGGCGTAATGTGCCCTACACTTGTCTCCACCTTTAGTCCCATGATCAAGGCGTACTATGCCCTACACTTGTCACCATCTTTAGTCACATAATCAAGGCGTAATGTGCCCTACACTTGTCTCCACCTTTAGTCACATGATCAAGGCGAACTATGCCCTACACTTGTCTCCATCTTTAGTCACATAATCAAGGCATAATGTCCTACACTTGTCGCCACCTTTAGTCACATGATCAAGGCGTAATATGCCCTACACTTTTGTCGTCATCTTTAGTCACATAATCAAGGCGTAATATGCCCTACACTTGTCGCCACCTTTAGTCACATGTTCAAAGCGTAATATGTCCTACACTTGTCGCCATCTTGAGTCACATGATCAAGGCGTAATATGTCCTACACACGTCGTCATCTTAAGTCATGTATAGTCACGTCGTAAGACATCTGATACCCTTCTTACGTCGACATCTAGGATATGAGGACGCTTTGACCACTGCATGACTAAAGCGGGCGACGGATGGATGATATAGGACGCCTTTTCCGCGTGACTAACATGGTCAACGGTCACCCTGATATTCCGCCACACGTCGCCAGCTTTAGTCACGAGACCAACGGCCAAGTGTCCTATTTATCCACTTGAAAATGGAAATGTGAGTTAGCAAGCCCACATGGAAGAAGGGAAGTTGGGGGTAATAAGTTACGCAACTACAACAGATTTAAACTTTCTTATGAGGCAGAAGCATACATTTTATCCAAATATGCCTAGTCATTTTGGAAGTACACTTGCTAACTTCAGGCGCGGAGTGGCGCCACTGAAGATAGAAACCGGTCGATACACAAATATACTATTAGAGGAGAGAACTTGTTTTAATTGACAAGATCAAATAGAGGATGAAACCCACGTTTTACTGAAGTGTCCACTGTATACAGCTGACTGACTGACTGACTGGCTGAGTTTGTTTTTACGTCGCTTTTAGCAATATTCCAGCAACATCACGGCGGGGACACCAGAAATGGGCTTCACACATTGTACCCATGTGGGGATTCGAACCCGGGTCTTCGGCGTGACGAGCCAACGCTTTAACCATTAGGCTACCCCACCGCCCCTCACTGTATACAGATGAGCGATCACAGCTTCTATCGATGTGTGAGTGAGTTTAGTTTTACGCCGCTTTTAGCAATATTCCAGCAATATCACGGCGGGGGACACCATATCTGGCCTTCACTCAATGTACCCATGTGGGGAATCGAACCCAGGTCTTCGGCGTGACGAGCGGACGCTTTAACCACTGGGCTACCCCACTGCCCCCTATAGATGTGTGAAGATGCCGAATCCGATATTATTAGCTTCTGTAATACAAGCAAACTAGATTTTATCTTGTCCATCCCTTTTTTAAGGTTTGTAGCTGCCAAAACCTGCCATTTTATTCTCGTTGCGAGAAGGAATTGTTTATATGTGCATTAATTTATTTAAATGCATTTTTATGTGTATGTAAATTGATTTTCATTTTTATGTTTATTGTCACTATTATTTATTGTATAACATTTTATAATATTTGTATATTATTCATGTACATACATCTATAATATAATCATTTTATGTCTCTCGTGACTCTGTTAAGGGTGGCTCATTACGTATTTTATTTGAACATAACGACTTTTCTTAATTTTTCATCTTCTTTTATTATCCAGGAAAGTCTTTATGTTCATCAAATATCATCTTCTAAAATGCCAATCAAGCATCTAACGTATTTTATTGCCATTGTTTTGTGTGTAGCCTATATACTTTTAATTATGTGGTAATGAGGTGAGACTTTAATAAACTACTAGTATGTCTGTCCAAATATCGCAGGCATCAGCCACGTAGTCAAGACATCCTGTACACGTTGGCCTGTGCCCTCAGTTCAGTTCGTCTCCGGGTTTAGTCACTTGGTTTGGCAGCTGATATGCACTGCACCTCGCCAGTTTTGTCACGTAATCAAGGCGACCGACTTGACAACCTTTGTCATGTAATCAAGACGTCCACCTCCCAACATTCAGCGTATACAGCCACCTTAATCCATTGGGGCGGTCACTCCGAAGACCCGGATTCGAATCCCCACATGGGTACTATGTGTGAAGCCCATTTCTGGTGTCCCCCTTCGTGATATTGCTGCAATATTGCTAAAAGCGGCGTAAAACTATACTCACTCACTCCCTCATCCCCCTTCCCAGGATCAGTGTGCTTGTTTTGTTGTTGTTTACGCCGCACTCAGCAACATGCCAACTCTATGGCGGCGGCTGTAAATAATCGAGTCTGGACCAGACAATCAAGTGATCAACAGCATGAGCATCCGTCTAAACAAATGGGATACGATGACATGTGTCAACCAAGTCAGCGAGCCTGACCACGATCCCGTCAGTCTCCTCTTACGACAAGCATGGGATGCTGAGGACCAATTGTAACCTGGATCTTCACGGGTATACACAGGATCAGGGATTCCTGTCTAAGTTGTAGGGGTGACCGTATATATTCCTGCAATTTTTTAGTTTCACCCAGCTGCTTCGTGTACAAGTATCATTGACTTTCAAACCTCCCTTACTCGAGGTCAGTATCTCCATTTTGTGATAACTGAACTCCAAGTCCAGCTCGTGTCTTATATTAGCTGCTAGAAGGAAGCCATTTGAGTAAAAGAATTAACTGATAATCCCATGAGTTCATTAATCGGTGTGATATCGTCAAGCTCAAAGCAATTTAAAGAAACAGTCATATGACTAGTGACTTTTAATCCCATAATCCTTTAAGAACTCAATAACTAATAGCATGTTCATTTCTCCTGTTTTGATAAGATCCAGTTGCTTACAGCACCACACTGAAAGGAATAATTAAATTGAAAATGTTGCAAATAACTGGAGAACAGAATGTTTTTATTACTGACGATGAACGTGAATTTTAGAAAATACAGTATAAACAAAGTAAATAACTGGAGAACAGGATGTTTTTTATCAGTGATTTTTCCTATGATCTTTTTCCATAACTTTCTTCCATGACTTTTTCCGATCACCTTTTGCCGTACCTGTTTTATATACCCCGTTATGTCTGCCTGTTCTATCTACCCTTCTCTGTACACCTTTCTACCTGCTTTTGTCTACCTGAGTGGCGGTGGGTAGCCTAGTGGTTAAAGCGTTCGTCCGTCTCGCCGAAGACATGGGTTCGATTCCACACATGGGTACAGTGTGCGAAGCCCATTTCAGGTGGCCCGGCCATGATATTACTGGAATGTTGCAAAAAGCGGCGTAAAACGTTACTCACCCACTCTGTCCACCTGTCCTGTCCACCCTAATCTGCCTTCTTATTCACTATGATAGCTACCCTATTCTCTCTTCCCTTGGGGGAAAAGAGGGGCGGGGGGCGTTGGGGTAGCCTAATGGTTAAAGCGTTCGCTCGTCACGCCGAAGACCCGGGTTCGAATCTCCACATGGGTACAATGTGTGAAGCCCATGTCCGGTGTCCCCCGTCGTGATATTGCTGGAATATTGCTAAAAGCGGCGTAAAACTAAACTCACTATCTTCCCTGGGAGTTCTCGTTCACATTTTAACCGAATACATGACGTGAGGCATACAAATTCACTTACAGAAACAAAACCTAGACGAGCGCTTAATCTCCGAATGTATATAATTTTGACAGAAAAACAAATAATTAATTTTAAACTGACAAGCAGCCACAGTGGGTTTATATTCTGAACCTGGGGAAATCGTGACTTGCTTCTGTCAGGGCTTTAGCATTGCAGAAAGGGGTGGGTGGAAGGGAAAATAATGTGGTTTAGTGACTGTGAGACAGGCTAACACAAGCCGAACACTCCTGAAGTACGTAGTCAGGTCACTACTTTCCAGATTTGTCGATCCTTTCATCCTACTCATATTTGGGAGCCTATAAATAGACTCACTATCGGTACACTGCTTACTTGTGCAAACATTATTCTGAGACTGTTTTAAGTTGAGTTAAAAACAGGTATTTCTTGTTGGTTGATACATACACACGCACGCACGCACGCACGCACACACACACACACACACACACACACACACAGACATACATACTCACCATGTACCATGCACGCAGAGATTATCACTTTGTATATTCTGAGACATTTACTGTTTGCATACAATCGCATACATTTGAGAATAAGTTTGTATCTATTATTTATCTATTCATTCATTCATTCATTCATTCATTCATTCATTCATTTATTTATTTATTTATTTTACCATGCAAGGGTTTACATGGCCATAAATCAATATGTGACAACAAAAATAGCAGTGGTGGTTGTGATCTAGACAAAAGCTTATAATATATATACATATAAATATATATAATTTTGATAGAAACAAACAATTCCTTTAAAATTGAAAAGGAGCCCTAGTGAACCTGGGAAAATCTAGACTTGCTTCATTTATGGCTTTAGCATTGAAGAAAGGGTTATACAAGCAGAAAGGAAAATAATGCGGTTCACTACTCAAATGAGGGACTCTTAATACGGGCCTATGCTCAAATATAATCAGTTACTACAGTCCGCATTTGATTAAACGTAAACATAATCTTTCTTGCATTTAAATCAATGGATGATTTAATAGTGATGATTGATGACTGAAGTCATGGTTCAAGTACATTGTATGGGCAGTATTGTACATGAGCTTATGAGTTGGCGATATTATGACCCAGAGCCAGCATCAGCGTCATCAACAAGAGGTCGATTCGTCAACAAGGAGACAGGAGTTGTGTCCCCTTAAAATCACCCGGAAGTGCCTGACCGACGGACGTTTGCACGTGTAAAAGGTAGGGTTGATAGCGACGTAGACAGTTCCCGACACTTACCGATACATAAATGCTGCTAGGACATGACCTTATACTTGTCGTGCGCCAGTTGTCATGGTATCATTGTCAGTCTTCTAATACTGTTGGCGTGTTTGGTTCCGCGCACCTCCCAACTTGCACAAGAGGCTGCAGGTAGTGTCGGGGATGATCACTGTCACGCGTCCGACCAGGTACACGATTTATCATGTTTAGCCTGTCTGGGAAAAGTTTACTTGCCAGTGTTAGAAACAGGTTCATAATCTTAACAAACTCGTTAACAACCTAAAAAACTGACCATGTATGTTAGATTTTATGGGAGAAGGGAGTTGAAAAACTTAACCCGTATAACTAAATGTTAGAACATTACTATATAATCATAATGACTCAGCACAGCGTGTCCTTCTACATCACCAGCATTAAGTCCCAGTTAAATGAATATTTGTATTTTGCATTCTCAATTATTTGACAACTGAATTCCTGCAATGATAATATTGATATGTACTCCGGTCGAGGTTTTACGCACAGACTCTAGACAGACTAAACTACGTACACCAGTGCCGGGTCACCAGACAAGGCATGTGGACATTTGAATTTATAATTTTCGCATAGTCATGTTAGCTGTGGAGGTATCAGATATTCAGCTATGTGACTTCATTTAGTACAGATCAGGTGAGGGATGTAGGCGTACTTGTCTCTCTCTGTGTCTAGTGTCAGTATTCATGTTCATATTGTTTGCGACCCTTACCCTGTGTCATCTTAATACCCTGATCATCGCCAGGCTTTTTGAGCTTAAGGCCTAGATTTTCGAAATGATCATAGCCCTAAAATAATCATATTAATTGTAACAACATCGTTGACTGTCATCATAGCATATTTTCCCTTTCGTAGCCCAAAGATAGCGTAAGATTGTCGGAAATCTGAGATCGTAAGGAGGAAAACAAGGGCATCAAGCAAGAAGTAAATAATTCATTTTATTATCTTGTATTATCAATAACGAAATAGTTATGAACTGTATCATATTGTTGCATGAAAACACACGATGCACCAGGGTATCATTTCCACTTATCTATTGTTTGCCATAATATTCTGAACTGTTATATACCCACATGACGTGTTGTTAATTGACTATGTTGACTTGTCTATTGGGGGCTGTGGGGTAGCCTAGTGGTTAAAGCGTCCGCTCATCACGCTGAAGACCCGGGTTTGATTCCCCACATGGGTACAATGTGTGAAGCCCATTTGTGGTGTCCCCCACCGTGATATTGTTGGAATATTGCTAAAACTAAATGCGGCGTAAAACGATACTCACTCACTCACTCACTCTCTTGTCTATTGTTGCTCTCTACCAGGGTTGTATGTCCAGTAGAAGCTTTGCACGTGCAGTAATGAGGGCGATCAGAGTCACAGAGTTCGGGGGGCCGGAAGTGTTGAAAGTACACAATGATGTCCCAATACCTCAACCCAAGTCATCCGAGGTAAGTCCCAACTGACGTGGCCATAACTCACTATACTACACCACTTCCATTCCCTTGTATTCCACTTGTGCTCTTCTTCAAGTTCTTGTACAATATTTAATTACAGTCCGTTTGAGACAAGATGATACCGATGAATTGCAATCTAACACAAGATTTTCGCTGCTGTTCCTTTAGGTGCCAATGTGCCCTTGTGACAAACTGGGAAAATGCACAAATAAATGATGACAGTTTCTTAAACAACTTTTTCTTTTGTGACGCAAATTATGCAAAAAAAGTTCTGGAGTTGGTCTGTTGTTTTTATTGCTGTCCGCGTTGGTTTGATTCTTTTATGTTTATTTGTTTTTGTGTTAGATTGCAATTCATCGGTATCATTTTGTCTCAAACGGACTGTACACTTGTCTTCCACTTGTATCTAAATATTGTACATGTAATTAAAATTACACACCACTTGTATTCTGCTTGTTCTTCAGATCTGTTCTTGTATTCCTCTTGTATTACACTTGTCCTCTACTTGAATCAAAATATTGTACCTATCCTCAACTTAGCTTCTTTGATTGGCATTCTAGAAGTTGGGTAGATGAAGAACAAGGACTATTTTTATGGATATATAGAATCTATATCCATGGCAAATATAGAATAAAGAAGTATAACCATAAAAATAGTCCTCATTCTTCTATCTTCAACTTACACACCACTTGTATTCTACTCTAGTGCTGCTCTGTTCCTCTTGTACTCCACTTGTACATCTAATTCTACTCCTCTTGTATTCCTACTCGGCGTACCTGTAGGTGCTGATCAAAGTGAGTGCTGCAGGTGTCAACCCAGTAGACACGTATATCCGTAGCGGTGTGTATCCAGCCAAACCTGCCCTGCCGTACACCCCTGGGATGGATATCGCGGGGGTCGTCCATGACGTTGGGGCAGATGTGAAGAAATTCAAGGTAAACATTGATCATTAGATATCCTGAAACATCATCATCAGTCATGTGTGTCAGGAATGTGACACCACCTGGTCTCTGTTTTAATTGCTGGAAGACGTTCAAGGTTCACGAGTAGATTATTTGTGTTTCATTATGATTATGTTTAGTGCTGGAACAGTTGAACGAATAATCGTCAATTGATTGATCTCGCTTGCATCAGTGATTATTGATTGGCTTGGGAGACCGATTGATGTTCATGAAAACATTAAGATCAAATTCAACTTTAGAAAGTATGTGTCCTATTGTCATGTTTGTTAATGAAGACATAAACAACTGATGCAGGTTCCTGACTCGTGAAGGTCCGGGTTAGAATATTGATCTTCAGTAACCCATGCTTGTCGTAAGAGGCGACTAACGGGATCGGGTGGTCAGCCTCGCTGACTTGGTTGACACATGTCATGGTATCCCAACTGTGCAGATCGATGCTCAAGCTGTTGATCACTGGATTGTGTGGTCTGGACTCGATTATTTACAGACCGCCGCCATATAGCTGGAATATTGCGGAGTGCAGCGTAAAACTAAACTCACTCACTCCTGACTCATAAAACTGCCATGTGATTTGTTGTGTTTTTGCTTTATAAATCAAGCATTAACTCGACTCTAAGTAGTTTTTTGTTAAAAAATAACTTCTTGCAATATATTGCAATTCATATCGCAATACATGCTTTGGTATCGCAATATATCGCAATATGGAAATTCCCTGCAATACCCACCCCTAGCAATAACCAGCACTAGATATTTTTATGAGTTTTGAGTGATTCGCAACAATTCCAAGAGAGCAATGATTCAGCATGTGGAAAGCATTGGGGCACAATGGCTGCATGCCAGTTGTATGTTCAGTTTTACTGAAGAATTTACTTGTTACTATGGTTACAGAAGGGTGATCGCGTGTACTCCATGCGGACATCTTCAGGAGGTTATGCTGAGTTCACCACAGTCGAGGAGAAGTATATCGGTCGTCTTAGTGATGGCATCACATTCCAACAGGGTGCTGGAATTGGAGTTCCCTACTACACAGCTTACAGAGCACTCCTGCTGAGGTAAGCAGTTTACAGAGCACTCCTACTGAGGTAAGCAGCTTACAGACCACTCCTACTGAGGTAAGCAGTTTACAGAGCACTCCTACTGAGGTAAGCAGCTTACAGAGCACTCCTACCGAGGTAAGCAGCTTACAGAGCACTCCTACCGAGGTAAGCAAGCAGCTCCTACCAAGCAGCACAGAACACTCCTACCGAGGTAAGCAGCTTACAGAGCACTCCTACCGAGGTAAGCAGCTTACAGAGCACTCCTACCGAGGTAAGCAGCTTACACAGCACTCCTACTGAGGTAAGCAGCTTACACAGCACTCTTACTGAGGTAAGCAGCTTACACAGCACTCTTACTGAGGTAAGCAGCTTACACAGCACTCCTACTGAGGTAAGCAGCTTACACAGCACTACCGAGGTAAGCAGCTTACACAGCACTCCTACCGAGGTAAGCAGCTTACACAGCACTCCTACCGAGGTAAGCAGCTTACACAGCACTCCTACTGAGGTAAGCAGCTTACACAGCACTCCTGAGGTAAGCAGCTTACACAGCACTCCTACTGAGGTAAGCAGCTATCTTGTGGGCACACAGCACTCCTACTGAGGTAAGCAGCTTACAGAGCACTCCCTACTGAGGTAAGCAGCTTACACAGCACTATACTGAGGTAAGCAGCTTACACAGCACTCCTACTGAGGTAAGCAGCTTACACTGGAGGTAAGCAGCTTACACAGCACTCCTACTGAGGTAAGCAGCTTACACAGCACTCCTCAGAGGTAAGCAGCTTACACAGCACTCTTACTGAGGTAAGCAGCTTACACAGCACTCTTACTGAGGTAAGCAGCTTACACAGCACTCCTACTGAGGTAAGCAGCTTACAGGTAAGCAGCTTACACAGCACTCTGAGGTAAGCAGCTTACACAGCACTCCTACTGAGGTAAGCAGCTTACAGCACTCTTACTGAGGTAAGCAGCTTACACAGCACTCTTACTGAGGTAAGCAGCTTACACAGCACTCCTACCGAGGTAAGCAGCTTACACAGCACTCTTACTGAGGTAAGCAGCTTACAGAGCACTCCTACTGAGGTAAGCAGCTTACACAGCACTCCTACTGAGGTAAGCAGCTTACACAGCACTCTCTACTGGGAGGTAAGCAGCTTACACAGCACTCCTACTGAGGTAAGCAGCTTACAGAGCACTCCTACTGAGGTAAGCAGCTTACACAGCACTCCTACTGAGGTAAGCAGCTTACACAGCACTCCTTTACTGAGGTAAGCAGCCACACAGCACTCCCTACTGAGGTAAGCAGCTTACAGTGTAAGCACTCCTACTGAGGTAAAGCAGCTTACAAAGCAGCACACAGCACTCTTACTGAGGTAAGCAGCTTACACAGCACTCCTACTGAGGTAAGCAGCTTACACAGCACTCCTACTGAGGTAAGCAGCTTACACAGCACTCCTACTGAGGTAAGCAGCTTACACAGCACTCCTACTGAGGTAAGCAGCTTACACAGCACTCCTGAGGTAAGCAGCTCACACAGCACCTCCTGAGGTAAGCAGCTTAGACAGCACTCCTACTGAGGTAAGCAGCTTACACAGCACTCCTACTGAGGTAAGCAGCTTACACAGCACTCCCTGAGGTAAGCAGCTTACACAGCACTCCTACTGAGGTAAGCAGCTTACACAGCACTCTTACTGAGGTAAGCAGCTTACACAGCACTCTTACTGAGGTAAGCAGCTTACACAGCACTCCTACTGAGGTAAGCAGCTTACAGAGCACTACTGAGGTAAGCAGCTTACACAGCACTTACTGGAGGTAAGCAGCTTACACAGCACTCCTACTGAGGTAAGCAGCTTACACAGCACTCCTACTGAGGGTAAGCAGCTTACACAGCACTCCTACTGAGGTAAGCAGCTTACACACAGCACTCCTACTGAGGGTAAGCAGCTTACACAGCACTCCTACTGAGGTAAGCAGCTTACACAGCACTCCTACTGAGGTAAGCAGCTTACACAGCACTCTACTGAGGTAAGCAGCTTACACAGCACTCCTACTGAGGTAAGCAGCTTACACAGCACTCCTACTGAGGTAAGCAGCTTACACAGCACTCCTACTGAGGTAAGCAGCTTACAAAGCACTCCTACTGAGGTAAGCAGCTTACAAAATAGAGCATCAATCTCTTACTATGTGATCAGAATTCGTTGAGCTAACAAAACAAATGAGGCCTGTATGTGCTTATGGTTATATTTTCTCCTTCAGAGGTGAGGCCCGTCCTGGCCAGACCGTCCTTGTCCATGGTGCCAGTGGTGGGGTGCGTATGTGAACAGTTTCAATCTTTGTCAGCAACAACATCTGATTTCTCAATAGTGGTAAACATGTACAACCATTGTCACTTTGGACTCTCTTGTTATATGTCGGGATATATCAGGAAAATTGTTCAAAATCTTACTCCGCCAACACTCACTCTCACACTCACCCCAAGTCCAACCACTCACTTAGCCCCCCTATCCTACCTCCCACTAACTCATTCAGTTACCCAAACCCAATGCCCTCACAACCCACTCACCCCAAACAACAGCAAATCCCTGTCTGTTCACTTACTCACCCATAACTCGCTTACAATCACTCCCCATCATCCGTCTTTCACTAAGTTATTCAGACACTCAAAATTAAGTGACAACATACCCACCAAAAATTTAATCCCTTCTCACTCACTCACTCATTCGAAACTCACTCACCTGAAGTCACTCTCACTCACACCCACCCACCCCTAATCCATTTCTAACTATTCAGTCCCTCAAAATTCACTCACTCACTCACAACGTACCCACCCAAAATTCAACCCCTCCTTACTTATTCGCTCTCACTCAATCACGTAAACTCACTTTCACACTCCCCCTAAATTCACCCAAAATTCACTAAGAATCCTCTAAAGCCCGCCACTCACTCACTCACTCACTCATGTGATGTCAGGTGGGCTCTGCAGCTGTCCAGGTCGCCAAGTCTCTTGGTATCCGAGTGCTCGGAACGGCAGGGACTCCAGAAGGTGTGGAGGCTGTCAAGAAGAATGGAGCAGATGTGGTGTTCAACCACCGTGAGGAGGGTTACATTCAGAAGATCATGGTAAGGTGGACTTTACAGTTGACTTTGCAAGGCTACTACAAAACCCTACTCACTCCATTGACTGGCAACAATCAACCGTTTTAACCACTATTGATTGGCGCAAGAGTAAACTATTCCTTAGTCCTTAACGATACGACAATTACAACCACAGCTGAACAGGGAACAAGGAGTGTACCTCCCCGGTGCCTGGGAAGTCTGTTAGGTCATTACTGGCTTCTACCCATATCTGCTAATCACTTGTATAAACTCTTCCCGTGTATAAATAATGCCCATTATCTGTACATCTCACTCTTTCATCTCCCGTTTCTTATCCAATGTATTGTATATACATGCAACACTGGCTTCTTGTACATTTAGTATGTATACAGGGGTGGAAATAACTTTAAAATTGCTAGTGTACTCTGGAACAGTGGCACATGTAAAATCACTTGCCCTCATAATTTTTCCACTATACCGGCCGTTTTCTTTTTGATTTTTTAAAATAAACAACATAATGAACATTGGAAAGTCAACTGGACACTGGTACCGTGTGATATACAAATTTGCTTGCCTGACAGAAAAAAACACTGGACTCGGAGGTCGGGCAATGGGTTATTTCCACCCCTTTTATACTCATTGATGTATCTTGCTTGTTACAATTCACCTAGCGAAGGGGCAAGGAATAGCCCAGAAACGTTGTGACATACAATAAAGAAGGGGCAAGGAATAGCCCAGAAACGTTGTGACATACAATAAAGAAGGGGCAAGGAATAGCCCAGAAACGTTGTGACATACAATAAAGAAGGGGCAAGGAATAGCCCAGAAACGTTGTGACATACAATAAACAAGGGGCAAGGAATAGCCCAGAAGCGTTGTGACATAAACAAGGGGCAAAGGAATAGAACGAAGGGGCAAGGAATAGCCCAGAAACGTTGTGACATACAATAAAGAAGGGGCAAGGAATAGCCCAGAAACGTTGTGACATACAATAAAGAAGGGGCAAGGAATAGCCCAGAAACGTTGTGACATACAATAAAGAAGGGGCAAGGAATAGCCCAGAAACGTTGTGACATACAATAAAGAAGGGGCAAGGAATAGCCCAGTGACATACAATAAAAGAGGGGGGGAAAGGATTAGCCCAGAAACGTTGTGACATACAATAAACAAGGGGCAAGGAATAGCCCAGAAACGTTGTGACATACAATAAAGAAGAAGTTGTCATCCATAATATTTGCCCTTAACTTCAACACCAACTTCTAAGAACCTTTACAAGACTAACGTTGTACTTTATAAGGCTCTGCCTTCGTACTGTGTAGGACATACAATGCACTGTACCAGTGTTCAAGTAATTCATGTTGGTTGATGTTGTTGTGTTACCCAGGATGCAACAGGAGGTGAGGGGCCAGATGTCATCCTTGAGATGTTGGCCAACGTTAACCTGGAGAAGGACCTTGGCATGATCAAGTTACGTGGGCGGATTGTGGTAAGACTGTTATCATGGCTTGTGTCAGTCATGCTGTCTCCACCACTCCCTCTGTACATCTCCTCGAGACACCTGTTCTTAACACCTTGGGGCAGTGGGGTAGCCTTGTGGTTAAAGCGTTCACTCATCACACCAAAGACCCGGGTTCGATTCCCCATATTGGTACAATGTGTGAAACCCATTTCTGGTGTCCATTGCCGTGATATTGCTGGAATATTGCTGAAAGTGGCATAAAACTAAACTCACTAACTCTTAACACTGTTTTGGTGACACCTTACCTCCACACACATGTAGGTCTAGCTGGGGCAGCTGAGTGGTTCAAATGTGCGCAAGTCAAGGTCTAGTAGGTTAGGTTCCACACATAGGTGGTGAGGTGAGGTGAAACTGGGTTTAACGTCATGCTTGAGAATATTAAGCTCATAGGACGACGTGCATGCGTGTGTATGTGTATGTGCGGCTGCTTGTACTAGCCAAGACTGAAGCTAGTTTTATAGTGCTAGCCCACTAAGATACCATGCCGCAGTGAAGCATGAATACCCCACTCAGACACATTATACTGACTCTGAGCCGACCGGTCCTTGTTGTACCCATTAATGCCGAGCGCCAGGTAGGGACAAGTACCAACAAGTACCATATTTTGACGTCTTCTTGTATGACGCGGCTGGGGATCGAACCCGCGGCATTCCTCTCTCCGGGCGGACGCTCTAACCACTACACCATGGAGGCGGTCACCTTGTGATACTGATAGCCACACCTGGCAGAGTGAGTGAGTGAGCCTTCCATTCTGGAACATTCCCGATGCATGAGCGTGTCCTGTACCTTGTTGTACCCATTAATCCCGAGCGCCAGACAGGGACCAACAAGTACCATGTTTTAACGTCTTTTGGTATGACGCAGTCGGGAATCAGAACCCGCGACCTTCCACTCTCCGGGCGGACGCTCTAACCACTACACCACGGAGGCGGTTCCACACATGGGTACAATGTGTGAAGCCCATTTCTGTTGTCCCTTGCTGAGATATTAGAATATTGCAAATAACCCCCCACACACGTGTGGGTGGATGAGGTAACCAAGTGGAGTGGTCTCCAGTCATGCCAAATGCTTGATTCACCACATGCATCCCCTGCTGTTATACTGGAATATTGCTAAAAGTGGCGTAAAACCCAATTCACTCACTCACTCCAGCCATGTGTATAGTCTGTTTGCGGTGAAAACGTACCGATGAATTGCACTTTAAACAAAAATGTAAATCTAATAAAGTGAAATTAAGATTGCGAATCCTCATAATTCTACCTTGCCATTTGCACATTCTATTCTTAGATTTTTATTCCACTCAGGAAAGAAGTTGTTTAACAAACGATCATAGTTTCAAATCCCTTATATTGGTTTGTATTACAAGGGGGTACGCGCAGTAGTTTGAACAGTGAAACAAATGCGGTACGTGATGAGCGTCAACTTAGACCAACCGTCCTTGTTCTCGGTGTTTCATTTAATGTGCATACCCCCTTGTAATACAAAGCAATAATACCGATTTGAACCTTGATCGTTTGTTAAACAACTTTTATCCTAAGTTGAATAAAATTCTGAGATTTAAATTTTCAAATGGCAAGGTAAAATTATGAGGATTCGCAATCTTAATTTCACTTTATTTGATTTACTTTTTTGTTTAAAGTGAAATTCATTGGTACGTTTTCACCGCAATCAGACTATAACCGATACCTCTAACGTGTATTGCCTTGTGCCCACAGAACATTGGTTCCCGTGGACCTACAGAGATCAACCCACGTGCCACAATGGGGAAAGAGTGCACCATCACGGGCGTCATGCTCATGATATCATCAGATGTAAGTATCATGGTCACCATAGGTACATAAAGATATCAACCCGTGAAGATTTGAGGTAGAACTGGCCTTCAGCAGCCATGCTTATCGTAAGAGGCGACTAACGCTAATGGGTGGTCTAATGGGTGGTCAGTCTCGCTGACTTGGTTGACACATGTCATCGTGATCCCAATTGCATATACCGATGCTCTGGTCCAGACTCGATTATTTACAAACCGCCGCCATATAGCTGGAATATTGCTGAGTGGTGTTAAACGATAAGTTAACCAAATTGAGCAAAGGCTAAGCGCTAATTGGACAGTGATGTGGTTGCTGATCATTGTCGTGTTAAATTAACATGAAAATTATACTCACTCATGCAATCTCTCATGTCATCACTCACTCGTGCACTCACTCACTCACTTATATACTCACTCACTCACTTTCAGGCTGACTGGAAGGAGATGCATGCAGCAATGGAGGCGGGGATGTCCCAGGGCTGGCTGAGACCCATCGTGGGGAAGGAGTTTCCTCTGGAGAAGGCAGCCGAGACTCACGACCTTATCATCAACACCAAAAGTGCCCAGGGAAACATTGTGCTGAAACTCTAGAAACTCCAACAGCTACAACAGCCATGTAACAGCTCTCATAGTCACAGCAATACAGTCACTGGCTGCTCAGGCAGAGTTTCACAGTAACCATAGCAACCTATGAGCTGTCATATCAGCCAAATGTTTTCCATAGACGATTGTTTATGCTGCCTTATGGAATGTGTATCCTAGTCTGCTCAATGTGTATTCTTTAAGAGTGCTTGTCTTGTAATCTCATGCAAATATTCAAGATTTGTGAGTTTTTAAGGGACCTTGGGGTAGCCAAGTGGTTAAAGCGTTCGCTTGTCACACCGAATCCGCAGCTTCAATTCCCCACATGGGTACAATGTGTTAAACCCATGGTGTATCCTCCCATTATATTGCTGGAATATTGCTTAAAGTGGAGTAAAACCCAACTCCTCATGACTATTGTGCTTGTCTTGTAGTCAGATGCACATATTCAGGGTGAAGGCTCTGTAGGATGAAACACAGTCTGCATTCAGACAGATAATTGTTTTCTCAGAATGTTTACATGGATATAAAGAGTTTTACTCAGAACTTGTGATACATTGATAAGGTACATTTACCCAGATGGTTCCAAGGAAAATGTATTGTCTGGAGTAAAAACTTTACTGTACACCTGTCACCACCAAAGAAGGATCATATGAAGCCCATTTCTGGTGTCACCTGCATGATATTGCTGGAATATTGCGAAAAGCAGCATTAAACCATAGTCACTCACTCACCCAAAGAAGGATCATATGAAGCCCATTTCTGGTGTCTTCTGCATGATATTGCTGGAATATTGCAAAAGCAGCATTAAACCATAGTCACTCACTCACCCAAAGAAGGATCATATGAAGCCCATTTCTGGTGTCTTCTGCATGATATTGCTGGAATATTGCGAAAAGCAGCATTAAACCATAGTCACTCACTCACCCAAAGAAGGATCATATGAAGCCCATTTCTGGTGTCACCTGCATGATATTGCTGGAATATTGCAAAAAGCAGCATTAAACCATAGTCACTCACTCACCCAAAGAAGGATCATATGAAGCCCATTTCTGGTGACCTGCATGATATTGCTGGAATATTGCAAAAGCAGCATTAAACCATAGTCACTCACTCACCCAAAGAAGGATCATATGAAGCCCATTTCTGGTGTCACCTGCATGATATTGCTGGAATATTGCAAAAGCAGCATTAAACCATAGTCACTCACTCACCCAAAGAAGGATCATATGAAGCCCATTTCTGGTGTCACCTGCATGATATTGCTGGAATATTGCGAAAAGCAGCATTAAACCATAGTCACTCACTCACCCAAAGAAGGATCATATGAAGCCCATTTCTGGTGTCACCTGCATGATATTGCTGGAATATTGCAGCATTAAAAAGCAGCATATGAAAACCCATATTTCTGGTGTCACCTGCATGATATTGCTGGAATATTGCAAAAGCAGCATTAAACCATAGTCACTCACCCAAAGAAGGATCATATGAAGCCCATTTCTGGTGTCACCTGCATGATATTGCTGGAATATTGCGAAAAGCAGCATTAAACCATAGTCACTCACTCACCCAAAGAAGGATCATATGAAGCCCATTTCTGGTGTCACCTGCATGATATTGCTGGAATATTGCGAAAAGCAGCATTAAACCATAGTCACTCACTCACCCAAAGAAGGATCATATGAAGCCCATTTCTGGTGTCTTCTGCATGATATTGCTGGAATATTGCGAAAAGCAGCATTAAACCATAGTCACTCACTCACCCAAAGAAGGATCATATGAAGCCCATTTCTGGTGTCTTCTGCATGATATTGCTGGAATATTGCGAAAAGCAGCATTAAACCATAGTCACTCACTCACCCAAAGAAGGATCATATGAAGCCCATATCTGGTGTCTTCTGCATGATATTGCTGGAATATTGCAAAAAGCAGCATTAAACCATAGTCACTCACTCCAAAGAAGGATCATATGAAGCCCATTTCTGGTGTCACTGCATGATATTGTTGGAATATTGCAAAAGCAGCATTAAACCATAGTCACCACTCAACCAAGAAGGATCATATGAAGCCCAGCAGCATTAAACCATACCATACTCACTCACCCGAAGAAGGATCATATGAAGCCCATTTCTGGTGTCTTCTGCATGATATTGCTGGAATATTGCAAAAGCAGCATTAAACCATAGTCACTCACTCACCCAAAGAAGGATCATATGAAGCCCATTTCTGGTGTCTTCTGCATGATATTGCTGGAATATTGCAAAAAGCAGCATTAAACCATAGTCACTCACTCACCCAAAGAAGGATCATATGAAGCCCATTTCTGGTGTCACCTGCATGATATTGCTGGAATATTGCGAAAAGCAGCATTAAACCATAGTCACTCACTCACCCAAAGAAGGATCATATGAAGCCCATTTCTGGTGTCACCTGCATGATATGATATTGCTGGAATATTCACCCAAAGAAGCGAAAAGCAGCATTAAACCATAGTCACTCCACTCACCCAAAGAAGGATTCAGTCAACATTCAGTACTGGTTTAAGAATTGTCTGTACTCGTTTGTTTAGTCATGTCCATTCAGTACTGTTTGTTTAGTCATGTCCATTCAGTACTGTTTGTGTAGTCATGTCCATTCAGTACTGTTTGTTTAGTCATGTCCATTCAGTACTGTTTGTTTAGTCATGTCCATTCAGTACTGTGTGTTTGTTGGTTTCTGCTCAGTAACTATGAATATCAGGGTTAGAATTGATCTTCAGTAACCCATGCTTGTCTGTAAGAGGCGTCAGACTTACAACTAGGTTGACACATGTCATCTTTTCCCAAATTGTGCTGCATTAAACAGCAAACAAACAAAAACCTAAAATGGAGGCCGGCTATGAAGTACGGTCCTCAGTTGTGCCTGTTCAGTACGACAGCAGTGTCTTCCCTTTTGTTGTGCCTGTTCGTGACTGTCTCTTTATTACCTTCATCAGTTTATCAGTGATGTCCATTCAGTTCAGTATTGCATGTTCAGTGATGACAGTTCAGTATTGCATGTTCAGTGATGACAGTTCAGTATTGCATGTTCAGTGATGACAGTTCAGTATTGCATGTTCAGTGATGACAGTTCAGTATTGCATGTTCAGTGATGACAGTTCAATTGCTATTTCAGTGAACTAAACGTCACTGTTCTATTGCATTAAACTGATGAAATAATTCAAACATTGCAAATGGGGAGTGAAACGTGAATCTCTTATAACAATCTCTTGGCGTAACAAATGCTAATGAGGCAAGAAACTTAATGTGATACCTTAAATTCTATTATCTACACTATCTAGCTCTATAGCAGCTCAGTATTGCTCTAGTGGAACTTCTATTTCGATGCACTAATACATTCTTTATATCAGTCTATCTAAATCCTCAGTATTTGTTCAGTGATGTCACAGTATTGCAACTCAAGAAACAACCGAACTCAAGGGAAACCTGAACTCATCTAACGTCTAAACTCAAGTTAGACCTTAACTCTGGCATAACCTCGACAAAACTGACCGATTCGACCGTTTCCCACGTGGTCAAGAGCATGTGGTCCGACCGCACGTGAAAAGTCATGTTCCTCGGTTTGTCGCGAAGCATGGTGCGTTTACGCGATCTGTTCCACTGTTTTGTTTTGTTTCAGACTATTGCATGTTCAGTGATGACAGTTCAGTATTGCTTTTCTTTTCAGTACATGCAGTTCAGTTCCGTATGTTCAATGGTGACAGTTCAATGGTGTCTAATCAGTACTGTTCAGTGGGGACATTTGAGTTCTATCTGTTCAGCATGATCTGTTCAGTGAGTGGTAAAAGTTCAGTGCTGTCTGTTCCATGCCGTTTCAGATAAAGAGTATCATCCCTATGCTGGTAGTACAATGTTCTGCTGATACCTGTTACTATGGTTACGTGTACAGTAATCAAACTACATCTGTTGAATGTTATACTGGTGCTTTTAATTATTTTGTTGATGTAATTTGTGCAAATGTATACAAATAAGATATTGATGCTTATAGTTAATTTGTTGAGTTTTGCTGGAATCTATTACAAAACACAGGGTGAGGGAGTTCAAACATCTTTTGGCAGATCCAGGAAATACTGCTACGTTTTGTTGAATGTTATTTTTAACAAGTAACATGTATGTGTTGACATAATTTGTTAGACATCAACAGTTTGTACAAAATTGGGTTGAAATTGGCAACACAAACGTCACTAACGTCACTAGCATCACAAACGATATTGGCTACACAAACGTCACAGGCAACACAGACGTCACAGGCAACATCAACGTCACTGGCATCACAAACGTCACTGGCAACACCAACGTCACAGGCAACATCAACGTCACTGGCAATACAAACGTCACAGGCAACATCAACGTCACTGGCAACACCAACGTCACTGGCAACACCAACGTCACTGGCAACACCAACGTCACTGGCAACACCAACGTCACAGGCAACACAAACGTCACTGGCAACACAAACGTCACAGGCAACACCAACGTCACTGGCAATACCAACGTCACAGGCAACACAAACGTCACTGGCTACACAAACGTCACAGGCAACACAGGCATCACAAACGTCACTGGCCACACAAACGTCACTGGCAAACAAACGTCACTGGGGACCGCCTCCGTGGTGTAGTGGTTAGAGCGTCCGCCCGGAGAGCGGAAGGTCGCGGGTTCGATCCCCGACCGCGTCATACCAAAAGACATTAAAATATGGTACTTGTTGGTATTCATGCTTCACTGCGGCATGGTATCTCAGTGGGCTAGCACTATAAAACCAGCTTCAGTCTGGGCTAGTACAAGCAGCCGCACATACACATACACACGCATTCACGTCGTCATATGAGCGAAATATTCTCAAGTACGACGTTAAACCCAATTTCACCTCACCTCAAACGTCACTGGCAACACCAACGTCACTGGCAACACAAACGTCACTGGCTACACCAACGTCACTGGCAACACAAACGTCACTGGCATCACCAACGTCACTGCCAACAAGCCGCACGGACATCACAAACGTCACCTGCAACACAATTAGCACAAAAGCAGAACCCGTGAAGATCCAGGTTAGAATTGGTCTTCCGCAACCCATGCTTGTAAGAGGCGACTAACGGGATCGGGTTATCAGGCTAGCTGACTTGCTTGACTCATGTCATGGTATCCTATTGCGTAGATTGATGCTCATGCTGTTGATCACTGGATTGTCTGGTCCAGACTCGATATTTACAGACCGCCGCCATATAGCTGGGATATGCTGAATGTGGCGTTAAACAACGACCAAACAAAAACAAAAGTAGAACTCATGAAGCGTATGGGTAATTGGTTTAGGCGTAAATCCTGCATTATATCCAACTCAGGTAGTTCATAATTACGTGGGAAGACTGAAGTCAATGTCTGGATGAGTAACTTCAATATAGTGGACTGGTGCATAATATGAACTAAAATTTCCATTTATACGTTACAAGTAATTATACATTGGTATACTTATTGGTTAAAAATTGTCACGTATTTACCTTTACAATACTTTACTCTCAGCAATTAGTTTACCCGTAAACCACGTGTATTCCCATAGGTCATACGGACGTGTTTTGATTTACGTGTGTTCTGCGTACTCAGTCATTGTATTTACTAGCTCTACATGCCAAAGACCGCCTCCGTGGTGTAGTGGTTAGAGCGTCCGCCCGGAGAGCGGAAGGTCGCGGGTTCGATCCCCGACCGCATCATGGTACTTGTTGGTCCCTGCCTGGCGCTCGGCATTAATTGGTACAACAAGGACTGGTCGGCTCGGAGTCAGTATAATGTGTCTGAGTGGGGTATTCATGCTTCACTGCGGCATGGTATCTCAGTGGGCTAGCACTATAAAACCAGCTTCAGTCTGGGCTAGTACAAGCAGCCGCACATACACATACACACACATGCACGTCGTCATATGAGCGAAATATTCTCAAGCACGACGTAAAACCCAATTTCACCTCACCTCATCTCATGCCAAAGACACTTTTATACGTCCAATACTTTAACATGGACTTACGACAACCGTAGCTCTACGACCTCTTAATGGCACGAAGCACATAGCCCCATTACACAAAGGCGATAATAACTCCTATTCTTTAACGTGGGTGTACAGGATTGTCGTAGCTCAAACTACGATATCGTACAAGCTGGTAGCTATCCTGTCCGCAATTATTTTTCCTGACCCGGTTTCCGTAGTTAGACCGCTTCACTCCTGCATACAACATTCTTTCAGTCGGGGCAGGGTGTTGTAGTGGGTCGGTTGAGGCAAGAATTTGTCAAAATTGTGCACTTTGTGCTAAAAACATCAAACTTGGCCCACTTACACATCGAACCTTTCCAAACATTACCTAATATGGATCCAGCCTAGCAGCTTGATCACAGTCCGTCAAATGGAGATACCCCTGAACGCGAAAAGTGACAGTCTCTTTTGTAGCGCGTACAGCCACCTTGAGCTTGCACACAGCCCCTGCAACGTCGCCTCATTGAGTTCACTAGAGTCTGAAAGGATGCCTGAGGCAAGTGGTTCCGCTCAAACACCAAGCTCTGTTCCAACTGTGCAAGTGTGAGTGGCTGTCTACCTGCAGCAATCCTACGTCCAATTTCGTCCCAGAATGTTTCAATGGGAGCCATATCCGGGGAAAGAGACGGCCATGGAAGAACGTTCATATTGTTCTGAGCCAGATAATCCATTGACACACTTGCTGTGTGAGGGCTGTAAACTTCGCTGTCGTTGTTGACGTGTCAAAATTGGTCCCACATATGTGGCCGTCGGTGGTGGATTCCAGCAGCCCGAAGACGACGCCTAATCGTATCGTAAAGCTTCGTCTGATAGACACAAGATAAATTGAGCCCCAGGGAGACCATGGACCACTGGAAATCTAGATAAGCTTTATTTAGGGCTTTGCACTGCAGAGAGGGCTAGGCTGTAGGGACAATAATGTTGTTCAGGGACTGTGAGACAGACTACGCTGGACACTGCTCCCCTTGACCCATGAACCAAGGCTGCTGTTACTGTTGCTGCTTGGTGGTTAGATGACAGCCCAACTGTCTAGCTACAGCGGTTGCAGAGCTACCTCCGTGCAACTTTCCAATGGCCATTCCCCGCTGCTCAGTCGTTAATCTAGGCATCGTTTGTGTGGCGTGTACATCTCCTAGTTCAATACTGAACTGTTTTGATTTTGCTGCACTGTGTCTGTGTTTGTGCGAATGTTTCGTATGGACGTCAAATTGCATGACATCATCTCATCTGGGATCATTACGTCACTTTACCATGAACGTTTCATAAACATGAACGCTTACTTTCATGAGATTTCATTTTTTCGAAACTTGCGTTTCTTTTGCTGTTCAGTATATATGGCGGCGGTCTGTAAACAATCGAGTCCGGACAAGACAACCCATTTATTAACGGCATGAGCATCGATCTACGCAACTGGGATACGATGACATGTGTCAACCAAGTCAGCGAGCCTGACCATCCGATCCGGTTAGTCGCCTCTTACAAGCATGGGTTACTGAAAATCAATTCTAACCCGGATCTTCACGGGTTCAACCAACTACAGTGGTGACAGGGCAAGGGGAAAAAACAGATACCCAAAGCGTATTGTCTTCTGTCAGACGCCGTGTCGGGCCGATGAAACTAAATATTCTCTGAAAACAGAACGCTGGTTATCAGTTAGTATTTACAATAGTCTCGAGTAAACAAAGCCGAATATCCCCAAGATCTCAGTAATTAGCGGGTATCTACATATCCACCCGTACCAGTGACGTCATTCTTTCGTTGGGGCGGTGGGTTAGCCTTTTGGTTACAGCGTAAGCTCGTCACGCCGAAGACCTAGGTTCGATTAACCACATGGGTACCATATGTGAAGCTCAATTTTGGTTTTCGCTGCCTTGATATTGCTGCGATATTGCTAGAAGCGGCGTAAAACCCAATTCACTCACTCATTCTTTCGTAGCCCTCTTGACACGTGACATTTTTCCAGTTTCCTCCAGTTGGGTCTCAAGTGGCATGCCTTAGCAACGAAATGGGGATTAGGTGGCAACTGTGAATGCTGAATATGGATATAATTCAGTGGTCAGAGCTCGATCTGTTTCCGGGACATTGGCCGCCAGATTCGATGCTAATGCTGTGGACCGTTGGTTTGTTGGTGACAGTGCTGATAATGATTTGAAGGTTGTATGTGCTGGGGATGAGATCATTGTTGTAATATATCTGTGATGCAGGTGTGATATGGATATGCCACACCCATCCGCGTTGAAGAAACCCTCTGCAGCCCTCACCCAAGGACACCATCCCAACAACCTCTACTGCCTGCATCTGCAACGTCCGTACACCCCGGCTCCTTCCTGCCACATCCGTACATCGCCTGTACACACATACACCCCATCTTCAGCCCACCCCGATACATACCCTCTTCAGCCCATCCCGAAACACACCCTCTTCAGCCCATCCCGGCCCCTCTTCCCCGGCACATACGTGCACCCCCTCCTTCAGCCCACCCCGACACACACCCCTCTTCAGCCCACCCCGTCACACACCCCTCTTCAGCCCACTCCGACAAATTCGTACATCCCCACGCATTTTGGCCTGAAACCGTGAAAATCCGGGTTAGAATTGGTCTTCAGCAACCATTCTTGTCGTAAGAGGCGAATGATGTGGTCAGGCTCACTCACTTGGTTGACACATGTCGTCGTATCCTAATTATGTAGATTGATGCTCATGCTGTTGATCACAGGATTGTCTAGTCCAGGCTCGAATATTTACAGACCGCTGCCATATAGCTGGAATATTGCTGAGTGCGGCGTTATACAACAAGGAACAAGAAGAACTGCACACTGCCAACGACACGTCCGTACACCAACTCTCAACAGCCCGAAGGCGGTGGGGTGGCATGATGATTAAAGCTGAAGCCCGGGTTCGATTCCCCACATGGGTACAATCTGTGAAGCCCGTCTCTGGTGTCCCCGCCGTGATATTGCTGGAATATTGCTAAAAGTGGCGTAAAACTTAACTCACTCACTCACTTTACAGCTTGCGTCTGCTTCACGAGGCAGTGAACCGAAATATATACTGGACAAAATAAGTTAGGGATATTGGTATTTTTATGAATAAATAGATCATTATTCATAATTTCAAAATGTACATATATCCCTAACTATTTTTGTCCAGTATATATATATACTAACCTGTTTAGAGAACCGAAAGTGATGTGATGCGACTTAAACCCCATTGTGTAGATAATCCCCACTGATTGCCGCCGCAATGATAATCCCCCAAATCTCCCCGGGTAGGTCTGTGAGGGGGTCAGTGAAGTGTAGATGATATCAGGATTACCAAACCTGTATCCAACGTGCGCCGACAATACAAGGAGCACTTGCGGCCTGGTGACTAGTGATCCACACAGGGGAGGAGGTGTTCACGGGCCATCGGTCCAGCAACCAAGACACTGTTACCAATATCAGCTCTTGAGAAACTCAGAACTTACAAAATACTGACTTTCGTTTCACGCGTATAAGACGTAAATGACCAGTTTAGGATACAACACTTACGTCATCTCTGGTGTCTGCAGTTAAACCCGCGTTAATCCGCGTTAATCCCAAAGCTCCGGGGATCAGATTACCGAGACCAACGGACGCAGACGCCATATCCGGGGACTATGTGTTTGGAAACCTGAGTCGTCTGCCACTTTGTCGTCTGCTTGTTCCTGTTGAAGAGGGCAAGATCCAGAGATCCAGTACGAGATCCAGCACGCAAGGGTTCAGGTGACAACGCTACATTGTTCAAAAGGCGTGTGAAACAAACCCACACTGACGCCAGGACTGTACTTTACTGTAGAAGGGTGGTGTGTTTCCTTGGTAACCGCTTCCACCGATGATCCAGAAATAATTTGAAAACGTCCAGTATACGCACCGAAGTCTCCTGTCTGTCAAGAACAAACAATCTAATCACGTATTAAACAGGTATGTGTTGAATATTGAACTGTTCACTGTTCACTTTTGTTGTGACAACAGACCTTCTGCACAAAATCGTTTATAATTTTCTTACAAATAATCCATATATGTCGCCACGGGTGATCACACGAACAGTTTGGGCTATACTATACTGAGGGAAACAAATAAGGGAACACCACTTCACAGCAGTGTTCCTTTATTTATTCTTTTGTTTTTACCCACAGTACAACACAAAACCTGGAAAAATATTAATGAACGGAAAGAGTTCCTTCCGTTCCCCCAACTCTAAACCAAACTCTAAACCTAACCCTAAACCTAACCCTAAACCTAGCCCTAACTTAAATTTGGGACTTTTAATCATTTTGTGAGTTCTCGAGTAATTGTTGTGTTAAGTTTTGTTTATAATTCTAGAATATTTATACATATTATTTGGGATGGGGGAACGGGAGGAACTCTTACCTAATGAACACTTGTACTTTCACGTGTTCCCTTATTTGTGACCCTCAGTATATATACCATGTGAGGTATCGATATTGTGCGTCCAAAATTTAAAGGTATGTGTTCACAACTTTCTTTGCTTCAATATGTGCTTGTTTGTTTCTTAATTAACGCCGCAATCAGCAACAGCAACTATATGGCGGTGGTCTGTAAATAGTCGAATATGGGCCAGACAATCCAATGATCAACATTATGAGCATCGATCTACGCAATTAAGATACGATGACATGTGTCAACAAAGTCAGCGAGCCTGACCACCCGATCCCGCTAGACGTTTGCTTCAAGAAGAACGTGAGAAAGATGTGTGTGTCACTGTGTGTGTCACTATAGTGTGAGTGTTGTGTCGAATTCACTTTGTGTGACGCCATTATGTGCGTATGGTAGTGTCGTCACTGTATGTCGCCGTAGCGTGAGAATGATGGCGCCGACACATTGTGTGTCTCCGAAGAGTGTGCGTGATGACGCCGTCATTTGGCGTTACGCCGTAATGTGTTGGTTGGTTGGTAGTTTAACGCCGCACTCAACAGTATTCCAGCTATATGGCGGTGGTCTGAAAATTATTCAGTCTGGATCAGACAATCCAGTGATCAACCGCATGAGCATCGATCTACGCAATTGCATCTTCCCGGGTGCCGTAATGTGACTGTAGTGACGCTGTTACTTTGTGTGACGTCGTAGCTTATGTGATGCGGGAACAGAGGCGTGGAGAGAGCGTCGTGTAGTGGGGATGTAGGCACTTTAGTATGTCGTCGTAATGATGATGTTATAACGCTGACACTCTGTACCTCGTTATAAAGATATCATTGACAAATGTCTTTGTTTTTGTCGCCGTTGTGTAGGTATGGTGCGCCGTCAGTTTGTATGTCTTCGTAACGTAGATGTGACGTCGTCACGTTGTCGTAGTCAGGTATGTCACTTCACGTGACAGTCGCGTTAAAGCTCCTTCCGACACGGACCCGACTCACTGAAATCAGTCTATTGTTGCTGTTCCAGATTGTCACGTGACTAGGCCCGGGAACATCGGCTACATCGACTTCATTCACTCCCCGGTCTCCTACAGCAATGGCGTTCAGCTTGACCTTCCAAAGCATTCTGGACAACAATATCCGCCACATCTACAGTGGCACACCGAGTAACATGGCGTACCGTCACTCCAAGGAGTACCCGAACATGGACCAACTCCGGCAACAAAAGGACAACCAGTACCTCAAGGACTACGTTCTCAGGGTGTCCGAGTACAGAGCGGACTACCGCTGTCTCGTGCCACGTGCACCGGCCTTCCGTATCCTTTCCCGCCACGAAGTCGACGACATCGTGGAGCGTCTTAATACGCCAAGGTCAAGAAACGCGGACAAGGACGAACAGAAACCACGTCAAGGTGAACGTCAGGTGAGTAAAGAAGAGGCTGAAGCTATCACGGAGCGTCTCTATGGCAACGTTACCAAGGCAACGACTGTGAGGGTCAACCAGACCCGCGATGCCGGACATCCACCCCTGACAAAGATCGAGGTATAGACCCGAATCCTGATCTCAACCATCTGACGTCAAGTTCATGCGATATCGGGGTGTACAGGATAAATCTAACGTCAGTGTCAAAGCATCATCTGTGATACATTTTACCCTGGTGTGTGACACTACGTATGTGCAAGCTGTTTGTGTTTTTGTTTTGTTTTTGTTACGCTTAAACTGTCAAATAAAGGACATTTTGTTTAAATATATGAACTGATCGGGTACACGGAATGAGATACGGAGGCCGCACTTATAACCTCGTTTTGTGAAGCGTGGTCCTGATCATCAATTTATCATTCACCAATATGTTCGAGCGATCTCTATCGCTCTATCGCTTAACACTCAGTTGACTTCCTCTGCCCACGGCATAATAGCCACATCCGGGATGACTCGTCCTCGAGGCGGTGAAACCCGCCAACAGCGCTGTACAGCCAGCCCTCTGTAGTCGCTGTAGGTCGACTGACAAACCTTTGGACGCGATTACCTCCGTGGGACATTGATTGAATCGATTTTGTAGTCTAAACTATTGATTAAATTGTGTGTCATTATATTGAACCATCTGAAATGTATTCGCATGGATTTAAACGGTGTGGTTAATGACCCTCCTTATCGCTACTGTAGTAGTCATCATCACAATCATCACCATCAACTCATCGTTAAGTCTTGCCTCAGTATATTGGCGTGTCACTTTTCGCCCTCAAAACAATGTAAAAAGCTCACCTGGACAATCGATTGTTTCCAGAATCTAAGGTAGCCGTGCTACGGAAAACATATTATTGATATGTATGGAATCCTAGAAGGAACATTATAACGCATTATAACATTGTCGCGTTGTCGCGCTTTTAATTTTGACACTTTTTGCTTGTTTTTCTGAGGGCGACAACGCGACAATGCGACAACGCGACAATGTCCCTTCCAGGATTCCATAGATATATATGTTATTAATAGAAACACCAAACATCACAAGTTTAGGGCCTGGCCAACACGAGATAATGTGTCAGGCCGAACATCTACCACGTGTATACATTGTGTGGTATTCGTGTTGACATTGGGGCTCATGACCAACATCCATGTTGTCATGTGTACATTGTGACGTCCATGTTGTCATGTGTACATTGTGACGTCTTTGTTCCCACGGGGGTGTATTGTGTGTCGTCCACGTGAGTACATTGTTTGACGTCATTCTGGCCATGTAGGTACATTGTGTGACGTCCATGTTGATCCGTGGGTACATTGTGTGACGTCTATGTTGATCCGTGGGTACATTGTGTGACGTCCATGTTGGCCGGTGTGTACCTTGTTTGACGTTCATGTTGACCGGAGCGGTGGGGTAGCCTAATGGTTAAAGCGTTGGCTCGTCACGCCGAAGACCCGGGTTCGAATCCCCACATGGGCACAATGTGTGAAGCCCATTTCTGGTGTCCCCCGCCGTGATGTTGCTGGAATATTGCTAAAAGCGGCGTAAAACCAAACTCAGTCAGTCAGTCAGTCATGTTGACCATTGTGTACATTGTTTGACGTCCATGTTGACCCGTGTGTACATTGTGTGACGTTCATGTTGACCATTGTGTACATTGTGTGACGTTCATGTTGATCCGTGGGTACATTGTGTGACTTCCACGTTGACACCTTGGGTACATTGTATAACATCATAATTGAAAAGTGGGTACATTGTGTGACGTTCATGTTGACCATTGTGTACATTGTGTGACGTTCATGTTGATCCGTGGGTACATTGTGTGACTTCCACGTTGACACCTTGGGTACATTGTATAACATCATAATTGAAAAGTGGGTACATTGTGTGACGTTCATGTTGACCATTGTGTACATTGTGTGACGTTCATGTTGATCCGTGGGTACATTGTGTGATTTCCACGTTGACACCTTGGGTACATTGTATAACATCATAATTGAAAAGTGGGTACATTGTATGACATCATAATTGAAATGTGGGTACAGTGTATGGCATCATAACTGAAAAGTGGAGTACATTGTATGACATCATGATTGCCAAGTAGGTACATTGTATGACGTCCATATTGGCTCGTACGTACATTGCTTGACACTCGCTGTCAAAAATGTCGCTACAATCATTGTTCACAGTGCACTGCGAAGCCTGGTAGGTGAGCTACAGTCCCCTTGTACCGTCTAGCCTGGTTATGAAGACTACCACACCGCCGCGACACGTCAGTGATTACAGTTATTTAACGTACAACTACAGGTGACTTGTCCCGACCTCAGCCAGTTATACACCTCGTTGCCCAGTGCACAGCTCGTTGAGACTCCCGTCCTTATCGTAGCCCCAGCGCATTGTGCTTTCGCGATCTCCCCATGAACCTTCCAACTGCAGCATTTACGCAGGTTTAGATTACGAATTTGATAAAAATCTAGCCCTTTCCCAAAAGTAAACTGACTGACTGAGTTTGGTTTTACGCCGCTTTCAGCAATATTCCAGCAACATCACGGCGGGGGACACCAGAAATGGGCTTCACACATTGTACCTATGTGGGGATTCGAACCCGGGTCTTCGGCGTGAAAAAGGGAGCTGTTATTTTGTTCTACTGAAGAAACCGCTACACGAATATGTCGTTTTGGGTGTGCACGCATGTACCCCCAACAATGTCTCTGAGGTGCACCCGTGAAGATCCGTGTTAGAACTGGTCTTCAGCAACCCATGCTTGTCGCGATTAACGGGTGGTCAGGCTCGTTGACTTGGCCGTCACATTCTATCATAACTCAGTTGTATAGACCGTGCTCATGATGTCAATCACTGGATTGTCTGATCCAGACTTGAATATTTACAGACCGCCGTCATAGCTCGAATATTGCTGAGCGCGGCGTTAAACATACAATCAAAAAAACTCTGATATGCATTAAACGCGATTAGAGGGACAAAACAAATATGACTGACACGAGATAAGGCAAGGCGCGCGGTGAGCCGGGTCCCGGGCACCTGCCCACAGCCGCTCCTGACACCAGTGAAAGTCACCTCCGAGTCATTCCCCACATGGGTACAATGTGTGAAGCCCATTTCTGGTGTCCCCTGCCCTGATATTGCTGGAATATTGCTAAAAGCGGCGTAAAACCAAACTCTCTCACTCACTCACCTCCGAGTCTCACATCTGTCTCACAGTCCCTGAACCACATTATTTTCCCTTCCGCTCAGCCCTCTCTGCAATGCTAAAGCCCTAAATCAAGCAAGTCTAGATTTCACCATGTTCAGGGTTAGATTCCGAATCTCCAATGTCACTGGGACACCTTTCCAATTCATAGGGAATTGTTTGTTTCTATCAAAGTTATGTGTATTTAGAGACTAACCGTTAGACTACCAAGTCTCCATTTCACATCGACCGGGGGTGGCCTAATCGCTATTTTTATAGCGACCGCTCGTCACACAAAAGACCCAGGTTCGATTCCCCACATGGGAACACTGTGTGAAGGCCGTTTTTGGTGTCCCCCGCCGTAATATTGCTGGAAAATTGCTAAAAGCGGCGTAACACCTCTCACTCACTCACTCACTCCGACCGCCCAACTGGTGGTCAGGCTCGTTGACTTGGTTGACACATGTCATCGTATCCCAAGTGAGTAGATCGATGCTCACGCTGTTGATCACGGGATTGTCTGGTTCAGCAAATACAGATATAGCTGGAATACTGCTGAATGCGTCGTTAAACAACAAACAAACAAATCACACCTCGTCTCGGTTGTTACTCCACATTTCAAAAACAGTACATATTTTCTATACATACGAAAACGTTTAATTATTACCACCCAAGACGTTTCGCGCAAGGCTACGAAGCAAACGTTCCTGCTACCTCATGTCCTCTGGGGACAACTTGCATCGGTATACTGCATCCCCATCAACTTTCATCCATGATATTCAAGCTGAATGTCCTCCAGCCGAAAGTACATTGAAGCTCCGAAAGTCAGACTCCGCGTGGGTCAGGTACAACGGCTTTCGGTGAAAACTACACACAATGGAAGGGAGATAATCCGGACAAGGCAAGGTTTTGGCTCTTATAGACCCTACTTCTGGTCCAAGTAGACTTGCACAAGTGCCTAAAGTAATAATTAATCGTTTAAATGAATTTTTCTAAAAAAATATATTAATAACAGGTGTCCGCTTATCTAGACTTGCCTCTTTTAAGGATAGAATTACTATGCATCCATGGGCTTAGCATTCAGTACAGCCTTGCAGCAAGGCTAGGTCCAAGTCGCCTTAAACCTACACCATCGTCACCCACAAGCCAAGGGTCGGTGACATATATGTTCCAATAAAATAATTCATTAAAACTTGAAAGAAAAAGCGTCGTACTTTTTTCTTGGAAAACCTGCATTTTCTAGACCCTTGTCACTACACTAATTTGTATATGCTAATAACCTGAATGTAGGGGCTGTTGTTACACTTTTTCTGACACTCACCATGAGTAGTCTTCGACCCAAAACCATTTTCCCTGACAAATTACGAGAAATGATAAAAATATCTTCTTTGGTGATAGACTTGGAAGGTAAACGCTATGTTGACGAGTGTATACGTGGCCGGTGACCATAGTTTTCACGCAGTCGCTTCCGGAAGTTGAGGTCAGACATCACATGGGCCTCTCGACACACAATATTAAATGGGATCTCTCTCAAACAAACGACCCATGAATATCCCAAATATATTAATTAGCACAAGGTCTCTTAAACACATCACTAACCAATACGTCTGCTTGCGACGGCATCCGCGTCAGACCCTCCCTTCTTTGGAGAGTTAACACACATGGATCTTCCAAACAGTAAAACAGGCATGAAGTAATCCCCACAATACATCGCGATACTTCCGGTACCGAAAGAACATTACAAAAGATTCTTGGAAACTATAAGTCATCTTCACCGTAATCCGCCTACAATCACATCCTCTTGGCCGAGGGCGCCATCACATCTGGAATTGACCCGAACGTCAGCGTAGTACATCCTGAGATATACTGAATAAAACAAGTTATGGAACATGAATAGTTTAAGTGACGTTTTTCATGAAATCGTGAGCATAGTATTCGCTACAAAACACATCACCCAAAATACTCATGATTCATAACTTAATTTGTTCAGTATATGTCTCCTGTATTGACAATGAAGATCATGTTTTTGTGAAAATCCCAATTCTAAGTCAGTGTCTGATTTCTTCTCTTATTCAAGCTGCATAATCATTTCCGATATACGAGGGCGATTGGTTTGACGAATGATTCTACACGGCACACAACAATCTTCTCTCCCACGCGGGTTTGTCAAGCGGTCATGCGCACTACACGATCTTACTGTATACTGACTCTCCGCATTCGGCCTTCTCATCATGATGCGGACCATGGACGATTTAGTCGGCCTCATTAACCTTGTTATGATTGTCTCCATCTCCTCCGGTGACACCTTCTTCGCCGACACAGTCCTACTCGACATATCGTAGCGGTTCTCGCGTCTGTTTGGCCTGCTCAGTCTGTTGACCATGAGATCTACTTCCGGTCCCTTCAGAGTCCTGAAGGCGGGAGCCGGGGCAAAGAGATGTCGTAATCCGG